ATTTATGTTTAAGTGACAAATATTAGCTACGCAAAGAAACAACTATTATGTATATATTATTACCTCTATTTATGTTATTATTGGACGATGAATCGAGTGTTTGAGGATTTGATGATTCTTCTTGAGTTTTGGGTTCCTCTTCAGACAAAGACTGATTATCAATTAATCGGGTGTCCTTTTTTTCACCATTTTCAGCTATAAAATAACTTTGCAAATTAATCTATAATCGATGTACGGAGATAAGTTAAAATGCAGAAGTACCTTCTTTGGTATTTGCTAGTGGATCAAACTCGGAAATACGTAATTTTAAGGTTGGATCTCGAGTTTGTGACTGCTCTTTTGAAGTTATTAAGTGTTGTTTTTGCTCTTCAGTAACTCGCGCAGAATCAAATGAATCAGTAGTTGAATCCATTATGTTTTTTTTTTTTTTTTTCAAGTTAGAAAGGTTTTTGTATTTTATGCATATACGTATATAATATATATGATATTACATATCATCATTTTTATTGGTGTATATATTAAGGTTGTGATACATGGCATGTGCGCTTGGATTAGCTAAAGAAGGTTTTCTCCGTTGTCGTTATGTGCAACGGCGAAATGACATGCATAATCATGTGCTAAAATTCTCGAACAAATTTCGCTGTTATAAAATTTCTATTATTCTCAATACTTGAAAGACATGTGATAGTTTTCAATTTCGGAATGTCATGCGTAATCACATTGGTATGGTATATTTATTTTCTTTTACGTGAATAAAATTATTTTTAAATTTTATTTTAACACAGTATTAATTTATCTTTATTGATTTGAATTATTGAATACGGGGTACTATAATCACTGTGACATTACATAACAAAATGTGATTATATCGCAAATCTTAATTTTACTTATATTACAAATCTAATATTAATTGATCTTTACACTTGTTATAATATTAAATTCAATTTTTTTTTTTTTTTTTTTTTAAATGGCAACTCAACCTTGTTTTATTAAAGTTTCAAGTCATGGCAAATAAATGCATATACAAGAAATAGTTACTAATAAAACACTTCTAGAATTGTCTATGAGTAAAGATAGATTCTTAAAGGGGGAAGTAGGAACAAAAGTCAAATGTCCCTTACTAGGAAACATTAAAAATTTTAAATTAATAATTATTTAAAAACTACCTATAATTATTCTCTATTATCCAAATCATTGATTTATATTATTTTCTGACTTTTGTTCATATTAAAATAAAGAGCTATAAATTTTGTTTCTAAAAAAGGAATATAAATGATCTGCAAAATTTTATATGTTAAATACTTTAGGGACCCATCATTATCTATAAGTAGTTAAAATTTTATGCTATTACTATCACTTTAATTTCGTAAGCTAGTTACTCTTTGAGAGTTTCATCAGTTGAGGTTGTACTACTTGTTTTTCAGCTACTTTCAATATCTTCATATTATGAAATTCTAATTATTTCAATTCACAGGATAACTGTTGTCAAGAAGAATTACTTGGATCAATCTAATTCATACATTAAGAAAGAAGATTCATCAATCCTCCTAGATTCCCCCTAACTAACATACCCAGGTGAGACATATCATTCCAAAAAAAAATTTTGATCCCCTTATGTTTCACTTGTTATATAATCCAACTTTGTCATGAAGACTTTGTTTCGAATCTTGAAACAAGAGATATAAAAAAAAAAAAATACTTGAATAGGAATAGTTACAAGGAATCAGTAAAGCAGATAAGACAAAAAATTACCTATTAGACAGAGCTAAAGAAGGAATCTACTCAGTGACCAGAAGTGGATGACTACAACTATAAAACCCAATTGTAGTATCTTGTAACCTTTACCATAATTGGACAGACTCTTTCTTGAAGGAATCAATAATATAAATAGAGAAGTGTCATGTATTCATTCATATCATCATTATAACTCATGATGGATCCCAGGTTCTTATGGAACTGAAAAAATGCATTCAGACATTTGAAGTGATCAATAGAAGCTTGTTTATATTCTTTTACTAATGTGAGTTCTATCTGTCCAATCATGGTGTAAGAAATTTTGTGCTACTCAAAATTCAGGGTCAAACTAAGATAGGCAAAATCACTCAGAAAAAAATCAAAAATAAGCACTATAAGAAGTAGACATAATGACAAAAGAGTGAAGAAGTTGTCACTTATTATTTATAGACTTCTATGATATTTCTCTACAGTGTGAAATGATGGCACATTAGTTCTTCTTCCTTTTGGAACTTTCTTGCCATTAGTAAAAAAGGTTTTCCTTGATCTTTAAGGTCACTAGAGGACAAGTTTTTGTTTGAAGAGAGTAGTAAACAAGAGAAGAAGGAGTAGTTGGTGACTCTTGAAGTTTCTTCAAGTTGGTTTAAGAAGAGTGATAAGACTTTATTAACATAGAAGTATAAAAACTTCTTATGAAAATCTTTTTTATATATGATCAGAGAATCAGCGAAAAGAGTTTTTTGATAACAATGGTTTGATAAATTCAATATATTTAATCAAAATAAATTAATTTTAAAACTTTTTAAAGAATAATTATATCATTAATATATTTTTTATTTTAAACTTATATTTATTAAATTTATTTTTTTTTATTTTTTTTATTTTTTTAAAATCCATAGTTAAGTTAGTCTATATGTTTATTAATCAATATGAAAACTGATAGAGATACATAGGACAATTGCATTATAGCTAAACTAAAACTCATGCTAACTTACTAATACAATTCAAAACTATATATAATATTATACTATTATTTATTATATTATATTACAATTTGAAAAGATAAATTAGTTACAATAGATTAGAATAATCAGTTAGCTATAGTATGTATTATGTTACTTGAATGAAAATATACTTATGTTTTCAATTAATTAATAAACTAACAATCTAGCCTGGCTATGGGTATTCAAAAAAAAAAAAAATTATATTATATTTTTTTTTTTCTCTGTCAGGCTAGTTACATATGCTTTATTAAACATTTGTAAGCTATACATATATTGTAATATGAGACACTAAAGCTAATTCTTTAACTAACTCACTTGTCTTGATTGTTTTATCTTTCTAAGTGCAACTTTGGAAGTAATTTATCGCTCCATTAGGAGTTCAGGTAAATACCCTTCCAACTTCTAATATCATTGCCTACAGATTACTACTGTAAATCATTATTTTGAGTTTTGACAGAGATTAAAACCCAACCATTTCATCCCATACTTTACCTCATCTCTTATGACCTGTTTGAGCATCACATTTTCTGATTCTTCTTCCTTTAATAGTACTTAATATGACTGCTTTCCTGATACCTTGATCCTGTTTTTTTGTTTCTGTAGGTATATCAACCTTTTGATCTTGTCACCTCTGTTAATTCCTAATGTCCATTCCTATTCTATCATCTTTTCACATTTGATATTCCAAATTTTCTTTCTGAAGTGGTTATGTGTTTTCTTCTGCATCTTCATTATCCATTTTCTTGCTTCTTTACCGATTCTCTTTCCATAGCACTTCAAGTCTGTTATTTCATTCATTAGGTTTTTTTCAATCAGTCCCATGCAAAAGCTAAATATATCCCAACCAGTGTTTGAGATCCTTTCCACTAGTTGAGCTATTTTCTTATCCATTTCTCCTCTTTCTATTCTGTTATCAACTATTAGGCTTATCTTTTTTTCTTTTGACTCCTTTTTCCTATCTACTAGCAGTTTGTTGAAACCTTGCATCATATCTTTCATACCCTTCTGCCAAATTTCTTGCCACTGAGTTTTGTATACTGGATATTCTAGCAAGTGTTCTATTGTCTCTTTTTGCTATCCACATGCAAGACATTTTACTTGTTTATATAAGTCTGATCTTCTTGTGGCTAGCTTTGTTAACATGTGTAGCTCATCATTGATCATCTTAACAAGAAAGCTTTTTCTTTGTGATCCTTTGAAGGAGATATTCCATGTATGCCCATTATTCATTTGTTCCCA